GAATCAGGCTGACCCGGATTAGAGTTCAGGTGATATCAGATACTTGCTATGTAATTCAGAAAAGTTTCTTCTGCACTCTGTGCCTCTGTCTTCTGTGAAACCATAGAGTAATAAAATGAGTGAGACCAAAGTCTTAATCCCATAGAGTTGTTATGAAGTTTAGACAGAATAATAATGCAGGTAACAGCACAAGACCTGACAGTTAAAATCTTTCAACAAATGCTAGTTATTAAAATTATTATTTATAATATTGGTAATACAGGTACAGAATTAGACACTTAAGTTTTAGTATAGGTCCTAGAACCTTTTCCGATAAAAGTTACCCTTAGTAATATCAAGAGGGCTAATAAAACTCCTTTTTCTTAGAGTGAACATTTCATGTTATACTTTAGCCAGTCTTATGACATTTCTATTCCCAGACCACTACAGTAGTCAACTCAGTCATTAATTTGGTACTTATTTTTAAGTTTCTATGATGTCTAAGCCCTGATATATATAATTATCTTCTGAAATCCATTTCATTTTCTCTGTATGGGAATTATTCTACATTCCTTTGAAAAAAATGAAAATCTAAATTTATATGGAATGCAAGGAAACCAATAAAGACAGGAAATAGAAAACAAGAGGGAACCTTAAGTTAGTCTGGTTCAAATAAAAAAAAATGTTTGCCTAGTTCAACTTTTTATAAGTGTGGAAACCGTAGACCAGAGGAGTTAGCAACTTTTCTAAGGTTATGCAGTAAGTAAGTGGGAGCATTGGCACAAGATCCCAGACATTCCGACTCTGAGCCAGTAGTCTATTGACAGAACCATACTGTGCTCAAGGGTCCACTTCTTCTTTTGCCCCAAAATGATGTCAAAAATTAACACAAACAAACAGAGAAACACAAGTTTAAAAAATACTTATAAAAATGAGCTAATGGCTATTCAAATTTGGGAAGAGAGCAAGGGATATAGGACACTTCTCTGCTGGTTGGGGAAGCATCCCAGTTGTGAAGTCCAGTAAGACAGCATTCCAGATCTCTTTCCTTTCTGTCTGCCATCAACAACCTACATTTACCAGTGATATTCAACACTCACAGCAAATAGTAAACACCAACCCTGCAGGCCAGCGGTTGGCAGGCCTTGGTCCACATGCCAAGGATGCTACAGCTGCCAATGGGAGACAGCAGGTGGCCCAGCTATAACATGCAGATTCCCACCCTTGTCATTTCCAGTAGCTATTGCCCATAGTTGCCTCCACCCTCTTGCCTGAGTTTTCAAGAGCAACACCCTAACATGACTTCCCATCTGGCACCAGCCCCATGCTGGCCTTCCAGAATTGCAGGTTCAGTAATTTGGCACACCGCATTGAGTAGATGATGACCATTGACTCCTATGATAAAACAAATACACATTCCTAGCATTTTCTATCGTACATGATAAATTTCTACCTAATTTGTTTGTTTTCTTCTTTATAATCATAGAGCAAAAGCATGTTCTTGAATATTGTCTTCCTCGTAGTTATATGCTAAAAGCCAGATATGAACAAATCTCATGAACAGAAAGATATCTAGCCTTAGAAGAATGAAGGGTAACACATCTCCAAGAAGTTTATTTGTTTATTTAGTCAAAGTTTATTGAGATTCTACTATGAACAGACCTGTTGCCGGCCATTCAGAATATGAAGATCAGTAGGTCCTCTAAAAAAGAGTGATACGGAGTTAATTTTAAGTCAGACTGCCTGATCTTGAGTCATGTTTCTAGCAGTGAATAATTTTGTGACCCGGGATAAATTATCTAACTTCATTTTCTCCATCTTTATGTAAGGATAACATTACTTCACAATTTGATGTGAGAATTATATTAAAGCATTTTTATAGTGCCTACCACCCAGTAAGTGCTCAATAATTATCAGCTACAATTAAATTTCTTCTGTACTATAACTCACGATTAGAGGGAAATTTAGAAATTAGATGATGGCTCAACACTGAAAATTTGGAAATGAGATCAACTGATAGCTACTGTGTCCTTTATTTATTCACCAAGCTTTTGATGAGTACTCAGTAAGTGCTAGAACTGTCTAGGGGTTGGAGATAAAGAGATGAACCAATTTTTGTCCTTCTCCTTGTGGAGAGAGAATGCATAATTGAGACATGTGTGATAAACTCCAGGTTAAGAATTATACAAAGATGACAAAAGTCCCGGGGGAGTGGGGTCTTCTCTTTCTTTGAATCCATTTCATCCACTAGGAAAACATAGGGGATCTTTCCATGGCAAAGGAATTCAAATTTGCTAACTCCCTCAACTTTGTATAATTCTTAATCTGAGTCTAGGTTGTAGTTCAGGTTCTCGGTGAGGCTGTTCCCTCCACGGCTGAGTCCTGTACCTCTAGAGGGACATGGGGAAGCCATAAGGGCAAAAGTTTGGAAGACCTCTTCACCTTATGCTCTTCCTGCTTAGGGGGCAGTCTGTTCCAGATCTAAAAATTTAGCAATTCTGGCAGAATTAAAATAATTTCTGGTATAGCAATACTAATAACAATTTTAGCTTATGCTTGCATAGCACTTTCAAGTCTTCAAAATGTATCCCTTTTGTTGGAGATTTTCAGTCACCCTCTGGGGCAGCCTAAACTGCTCTCATATGTATAATTTATGGATAAGGGACTGAGACTCCAGCCACTTAAAGAACTTTTCTGTAAAAAGCACAGCTAGTAATGGCAGACCTGGGACTAGAACCCAAGTCTCTAGGTGCAAATCTCATGTGTTTAAGGGCTGGGCGGCATCATGGGCTTCCCAGACACCTAGGCCAACCCTAGAAGAGCACTGCACACAAATTCTAAGGTCCACACAGCTGACTCCCTGAGCATGGTTTCTGCACCTCCATGATTTTCTGTTACTCATTTTGTGCAGGGGAGCTTTCATCCCTTGAGACCTAACCCTGGAATCAGAGCTCTTCACTCTTGTGTGAATCCACTTGAATGCTTCCCTCCCAATTTTGCAATGTGATATGTGGCATCTGTCATGAAACTAGAAAGCCTTTCACAGAGTGTGAAAGGAAATAATGGAAGTAAAAATTATGGATCCAACTTGGATAAATTATAAGAACACTTGCTAATTCTCTTCAGTTGGAGAACCATCCATTTAAAACTGTGATGGCAACCTCTTACTTCCATTGTTTTCGTTTTCACTGCCCTGCTGGACAAGAGGCTTCCCCTCTGTCCCTGATGCTTGGAGTCACAGTTCTTTTTTGCTGCCTCTTTCTCATTTTCACACACCGGGAGAAAGTCAAGCTGTATTTCGCAGCTTGTAAGTGTGTTTCTATCTGGAGACCAGTACCTATCTTTGGCTAGTGGGTGAAAATTTATTTTCATCTCTCCTCCTTCTTCTGAAACTTCATAATCCCTTTAATTTTTAGGGAGTGGCTATGATTATGGGTTCAGTAATCATATTGCCTCAGTTTGATTCTACACTAGGTACTTATTAGCTGAGGGCATTGGTTAAATTACATAATTCTCTATATCTGTGTTTACTCACTTAAAAGTGGTAATAGTCTTTACCTCATAGGGTTATGATGAGGATAAAAACAGCTAATACTCGTAAGGTACTTACAAGAGTGCTTCATCAAGCACTCAATACATGTGTGTGGATGTGTGTGTGTGTACATGTGTACAGACATAGGAGTATTATATGTGAAAATACGGATGTCTGTTTCTGGACCTTAGTACCTGGAACAAAGTTCATTTCTAAACTGAGTCTCTGATCTCAGTGAGAACAGCCTTCTTTCTCACCTTGTCTGTGTTCTCCTAAAATGCTTAATCTCCTTTGCAACCATGTGCATAGGACTCATTGAACATGACAAGAAGTCTTCCACAAATAATTTGTGGCTTTCCTCTCCTCACCATAGCACATATTAGACTGAGAAAAAATCTATACTCACCTAATATATCCTGCATTGGGTTGGTTTAGACTTATTCTTCATCTAATAACACTGATAATAATGTCCTACATTGTCCTGGTTAAGAAGAGAAGGCTTAGGAGCCAGACTGAGTATGAGTCTAACATTTTCCATTTCCTTAGTATTTGCATTCACAAAATAGGATAAAATGGGAAATGAATTTGCTATGAGGAGAAAAGGAGGTTATCTCTGTAAAGTACCTATCAAGGTGCAATGGATGGTACAGAATAAAAATAATAAAGTTAAATTATTTGTTTTTAAAACTCTTGTTGTTATTGCATTGTTGTTAAAACTCTTCTTTCCATTGAATTGTCTCTTCTATCTATACCCAACAATTAAAGTAGGATTGGGCACTTACTAACTCCCTCCACTTGGAGGATCATGTGCTGATTCAGAGAGAACCATAGACATTTGAGAAGGTGAGAAGAGTTTAGAAACCAGTGGCTGTCACAGTCTCAGGGCAGACTGGAGAGTGGATTTTGTTGTGTAATTCCTTGGGATTGCTGGCGGAATGTGTAAGAGTTCACTCTCTGACCACAGAAAATTGTCAGACAGCTTACAGGATTCAATCAACACAAAATCATTTTTCTCCCAAGCCTAAGTAGGCATTTAGGTACATTTACTGCATGTAAGAGGAAGTACAAGAAGGGGAAACATTTAAATGTGGGATGAACATGGACAGAGGCATCAGTGGGTTTCAGGTCTCTGCCTGTGGCTGCAGTATTTAAAAAAAATTCCCATTGATGTGACTACATCTGGTAGTGACTGCTATTTTGCTATTATGAAGCATATTTGACCTACAGTGGTAGGGTGTATATTTAAAATTTGTGGGATCCACAGCAGTACGTAAAATAAAAATTTCCCCCAGACATTCTCAATTCAATAAGTAGCTAGATGAAACAAGTAATTACATATGATCAGTCCAGTAAAACACAAGTACTTCCTGAGGAAGAAAAGGAAACACCTTGCAGTCTCTTGAATCATGCAGTCTCAGATATAAAGAGAGTTGTGAACTTAAGCCATATTCAGTGCCCACCATTCCACAAGACCACTGAGGCTGGGGATTCAAATGTCACACCAACTGGAATGACGTTCTTTGCACAGTACCCTCCTCAGGGCATCCTTGACCTCTGCGTTCCTTAGGCTGTAGATCAAAGGGTTCAGTGCAGGATTGAAAAAACTGTAAAACAGGAAAAGGACCTTCTGCTGCTCCTCCGGATGACGTGATTTAGGGGCCATGTACATGGCGATGGCACTGCCAAAGAAGAGCCCCACCACGCAGAGGTGGGAGGAGCAGGTGGAGAAAGCCTTTCTGCGACCCTCCCCAGACTGCACCCTGAGGATGGCAACCAGGATGCGCCAGTAGGAGACCAGCACCAAGCACAGGGGACCCACTAAGACAAACACAGAGGCTGCAAAGATGACGACTCGGTTGAGTCGGGTGTCAGCACAGGCCAGCTTGAGGATGGACAGGATTTCACAGAAGAAATGGTTGATTTCATGAGGCCCACAGAAGGGTAGCCTCAGGATAAGACCCACATGGACCAGAGCCAAGAGGGAGCCACATATCCAAGAAGTGGCAGCCAGGACAATGCACATTCTCCAGCTCACGATGACAGAATATTGGAGAGGATGACAAATGGTGACATACAGATCATAGGACATCACCACCAGGAGGAGACATTCAGTGTGAGCAAAACCCAAAAAGAGAAAGGTCTGAGTCAGGCAGCCAGCAAAGGAGATGGGCTTGGCTGGATTCAGGAGGTTCACCAACAACTGGGGCACTGTGTTGCAGGCATAGGTGATGTCGACCACGGCCAAATGTGAGAGGAAGAAGTACATGGGGGTGTGCAGTCTGGAGACCAGTGAGATGAGCCCCAGGATGATCCTGTTCCCCAGTAGGGTGAAGATGTAGATCAGGGAGAAGAACCCAAAGAGAAGCATCTGAATCCTTGGGTCAAAACAAAACCCCAGTAGGATGAACTCTGTGACCATTGTCTGATTCCCCCCCCCATTTCACTGTGAAAAATAAATGGATAGCATAGGACAAGATTGTTAAAACATGCCTAGACATTTTTTATTTTATGAATTTAGTCATTTTGAAAAGATACTTAAAAAAATTAATGATCTAGTTACATAATAAATTAATTGCTAAAGATCCATTTTTATAGGAGGGATTGTATCACCAGTGATAGGGTGCATGGAGCCATTGACACTTGTGTTGGGAAGAAAGAGTGTCAAACCAAAAGAGGAAGTAAAATTACCACGTAGTAAGGATTGTCTTGAATCTGCACATGTCAAAATCACTAAGGGAATTCCTAAAGTGTAGAAATAATCAGTCATGGAAGAACTCCAACTATAAGAGTTAGAATAGTTCTAGAAAAGAAACGTAATTTCAATGTCTCAATAGAAATAGCAGCTGTATTGCTTTCAATATCTGAAATTAACCTTTGTACCCTAGAGAAGTTTACTTGGTAACAAGAGGAGCAAAACGGTAATGCTTTCCTTTTATGACAGTGTGATTGTTTAGGTGCCTAAGAAGGACTTAATGGATGTGCTATGTATGAACTGGTTCAGTTTACAATGGATGATGAATATACACCGATCATTGGCCATTTGGCAGTTCATCTAGTGACTGAATCATGGTTATTGACTTACCAAAAATTGTTTGGAATAGCAACTCATAAAGTTTGTAGCAACTGGATTTTTCAGGGCTGCGTAGTGTTCATGTATTGTGAATCTAGACTTTGGCTGCAATGTTGTTTATGAGGGTGAGGTCAGGCATTCATGTGGTGATTTGAAGGATATGGTGAGAGTGTGTAGACAAATTAAAATATTTCCAGATGTAGTTCACCATGAACTATTTGTAACTCATCCCTCTATACTTTTCTCACCAAAAGAGCAAATCCAGTTTACCAGAAGCAGGAATGATCATACCTGGGATGCCAATGTGTTGGAAGACCTGTTTGTGCCATGTTTAACATTTGTATTATGTAACAAACTTGAAATTTAAAAATCTCAAGAAATGACGATTCATAAAAATAATTAGCTCTGTCCTAATTCAGCAAAATAAGAATTGCTAAATACTTTACAGATGGCTAATTTAAAAAATTGTGGCAAAGAGCCAATTTAGTGAATTTGTCATTTTTTAGATTATCATAGTAATACACTGTCAGTAAGGTAACTGGTATTCTGTGAATTGGCGATGTGCCAAATAATATTTGAGTCTTTGTATTTAAGTCCTAGATAACATCTTCCTCAATGTACTATGTAGAAATCCAGCATTTTGCTGGTACAGTTTTGTTAGTGCCCCTGCTAGGCAATAATAACCTGAGGCTGAACCATTGAACTTGTGCCTGCTTGCCTTTGAAGAAAATTCTCCAGGATTTAATGTAAGGAAAAGTGCTGCTTTTGATAAGATCCTTGCCTAAGTGTCATTAATACTAGAAGAAGTATTAAAGAGATGCTTCCCAAAGAATGTGGAAATAAGAGAAATAACACTGCCTTGTTGGAAGCGATACTTGTAAAATTCACTCCTGAGGGATGAGAAGAAACAGAGGAGGAAAATAAGCAACGTGAAGAAACACATACCTGGGAGTTCTGAATGCATCCGGAAGCCCACTCAGTGTGCTTTGATGCAATCTCAGGGAGGCAGGGGAGGAGGAAGGGACTATGGCTCAGTGAACCCAGATATAATCGCTGTGTGGGGTACTCATCTAGAGAAAGGACAAGGAATAAAGAAGGAAGATGATTAGTGAGAGGCAGAGATTGTCAGGGCATCCTCTTATGGTCCATGGGAGTCTGGCCTGATGGTGTGAGGGTGTTCTTCTCTTGACAGGCTGGTGGCTGCAGTCCAGATGGCATGAGTGATCAGTGCTGGATGACCCTGGCCAGCAATATCTCCAGTTAGCCCCCTCTGCTCTTATGTTCACCTATCAACCATCAAGTATTATTGTGTCTCCTTGTGCAGATATTTTGACAAAGAAGGAATGTGCTGATCAGCAAAGTTCTTGAACAATTTTGCAGTTACCTTTTTAAAGTGCATTACTTTCATTTGGGCTTATTCGTTGTTCTCTTTTTAGTTTGGAGAGCATGATACAACTGAGAATTATGTGTGCTGACCAGACTTTCTGGATCTGGATCTACAAAGTGAGGACCAGGCCCTGGGCCAAGACAACCTCATTAAAGTACAACTCAAAGAAAGCTTTTACTGATCATCTAATTGGAACACTGAAGGGCATCCTCACTAGATCCTTCTCTAGTGGCAACAAATAATTGCTTACTTACATGCATAATCAATAAATTATTATTTCAGAAAGATGCAAATGAATTCTAGTGGATATTACAACTTCATAATATATGACCAAGCCTTATATGTTTTTTTTTTTCAGGATTCTATACAAAATTACTGTGCTAGACCCGGTCTTTTAAATTTATTTGGAAAACACAGAAAGCATATGAAAATATTTGGTTGTGAAAATACATTTGAATTTACATATTATAAACATCTTAATCTCACTATTCAGTTCTTTGTTGCGTCCTTTTGTGATTTCCCAAATGATTACACAAAGGAAACATCCCACTATGCACAAAGTATGAATCCCTTTGAAAGCTAGACAGAGAGAGAGACAAGAAGAAAGAAAGACTTAATGAACACATTAAGATTGTTTAAGGACAGTTGCCATATGGGTTGAAACTCCTATTTATTTTATAGGACAGGATTGTTAATACCCTCCTTGTGAACAAAGAAGAGGTGCACTAATTTTTGTAATTCTGACACTTACTAATTATTTATTGCAGGAGCAAATTAATCAGTAAATAAAAAATTAATAAATAATTGAATGTCTAAATACTGATTTTTTGGGGGATCATCATTGAACTGGATCTGGAATTTCTGGCTTTCTTAAATCTTGCTTGCAATGATTTTACCCAATTAACAATATTTTCCCTAAGGCAAATCAAACTTTCTGTATGAGAAGAATAACCATAGAATCCTCCAAATTGTGTAAATATTGAATACTTGAAAGACACTTCTATTTGCTTTCCCCTCTCCACATTTTATTTCCTTCTGCATGATACTAAGGACATCTTACTTAAACTCAAATTTGCCAAAAGATTTACAGACATAAAAAGAGAGACTACAAAAGAAATGAAATATAACCCAGTTCCAAGTGTAACATTCAGGCATTGTGTTGGCTTTAAAATATACATTATGTATATATATGTATAAGCTAGCCATTAAAAAATGTGGCAAACTTAGCAAATTATTTGATGACTAATAAATGATCTGACATCTCCATGGTTTCAAAGTAAATATCTAAAACTGAAATCATTTCTTTACACATGACCAAACCTGTCAGTACTAGATGAAGCCTATGTTCAAAAAGGAAAAATTAAGATCTCATGAGCTGACAAACTAATGAGTCACACAGCATTCTTAAAATAAAAGTATTTTTAAACCCCCAGTTCAACCAAAGTGATAGACAGTTTACTTCCAAGTAATAAGAAGTAGAACTAATATTCTCACTAGAACACTCCTATGTCTGTCTTGATGGCTGTGTCTCACTATACATTATCTCTATCCCATTATATTTTTCCTTCTCTGAGCCTCTTTTCTTCTCTCCATTCCTAATTTCCATTCTCTCTCCTGCAATTTCTCATTCTGAAAGATCTTCTTTTCTACCTCCTCAATACACATCTTCACAGTATTTCTAGAGACTTGTTGATAGTTCCAATAATGGGTGGTTTCTTAGAGGACTTTGGTTACACAGGAGGTCTACATTCAGCTTAACTGTCTTATAAACAACCTTGGAAAATACTATCTTACAATTTATAATAGTAATAATATCTGCCAACCCACTTATCTGGGATATTGAAACATTCTCTCTTGATTCCCAAATAGCCAATAAGGGCCATTTAATTAAACTTCAAAATTAATTTCTTAAGAAATTGTGTTCAGAATAAACCTTAGATTAAAAAAATCTTTTTGATCTGGTAAGTGATACAAAGATGGTATATTTGACCATATATGTGTCTGGAACGTGGTGGGTGTTCAATAAATATTGATGGACTGGATTTCAATTTGATTTAAGATGAGAAAACAAAACATTAATAAACTCTCTACATTCTGCTGTGGGTCAGATTCTCAAAGAAAACGTTAAAAGGCACGTCAAAGTTGTGATTAAAAAACCGTGGGATTAGGAGTCAGATCCACATTTATTTCTTGTATGAACTTGAATATATGTCTTAATCTCTTCAAGCCTCAGTTCCCTCTTTTTTAAAAGGTGAAAAGTGATCATATATATTTTATAAGGTTGTTGTAAAGATTTTTTTTTTTTGAGTTGGAGTCTCACTCTGTTGCCGCAACTGCAGTGCAGTGGCACGCTACCGGTCACTGCAGCCTCGACCTGGGGGACTCCAATGATCCTTTCGCCTCAGCCTTCCAAGTAACCAGGACTACAGGCACGTGCTACCATACCTGGCTAATTTTTTTTTTTTTTAAATTGTAGAGACAAGATCTCGCCAACTTGCCCGGGTGGGTCTTGAACCTGTGAGCTCAGGCAATCCATTCGCCTTGGCCTCCCAAAGTGCTGGGATTACAGGCTGAGCCACCAAGCCCGGCCTGTTGTAAAGATTAATTGAGATCGTTCATGTTATACATTGAACACATTGATGGTACACAGAGAACACTCAATGACTGGGATCAATTGTTATCAGTCGTCTTGGATAGCCTATGATTGATGGACCTGACAAGCATGACCTCTTCACGGCTAATGGAAGTCCCTGAAAATCATTCACTTTATTGGTTATTATTCTCTGAAAGTCAATTTTATAGTCTTGATTATAACAGTGTAAGTGAACATGGTAATTTTATAGGTAATATATTCTGTATCTTTTCATTTGGCATCAACGTTCATAAGTTTGTTACTTTCAGGAAGCTACTCCTCCACTATATAAAATTAAATAAACTTGATTCTATACATGCTCACATTATTTGTGAGTAATACATTTAAATAAGTTAGCACGA